TAATAATAAGAAGTTGTATGATGTAACTTTTAATAAATAACATAACATCCCACACAGCACAATGTCCAAAATCGGGACATAAGATGTCTTGAATTCGCCTCTAAGACCGGCATTCATAGTCGAATCTTATTTCAAGATCGTCTTAAGTAATGTCTTAAAATGCGAATACGCTTCTGTGATTGGTTCATGACATCTTAAAACAGTACTTAAGATGATCTTAAATATAAGATCAGACTATGAATATCGCCCTAATGAATATCGCCTAAGACTTCAGAACATAAGATTTCTCTAAAACATTAAAAAAAAATCTTTAAGACGTCTTATGTTTCGACTTTAGACGTTGTGTTGTGTGAGATTAGGGTACAATCGTGTACAGATTAATAAATATTTGTACCATTACAATAGATAATAAAATAGTGATTGGCTTAATTTTTTATTGATGTTTAACCCTTTGGGGACGAGTGTCGGCATATAGCCGCCCAAGCCGTTTTACCGTTCCGGACGCGTGTCGGCATATAGCCGCCCAAATTAGTTCGTAGCTGCAAGGCTCGCGACGTCTGTCGTTCTGAGCGATAAGATACGCATAGGTATAGTAAAAGAGTCACGTTTTCATTCAAAGACATTAGGGGCCATTAGCGATGAAGTCTTATCTTCCTTATAGCCCGTCGAGCGGCTCCGTCCTCAAAGGGTTAAATTGAATTAATTTTGAAACTTATATCTAATATATTCTTTTTATACTATATCAGAGTAGCGCACTTCACCTCATGGAATAAACGTATAAACGTATTAAGATAAATTAGATTTAACGGTTTCTCGCATGTGATTACTGTGCAGAAAACATTCCTATATAATTCCTATATAAAATTAATAATCTTTTCAATCAAAAAAGATAGATTCTTTAAAATATGCATTTCTTCGTAAAATGTAAAAAAGAAATTGATTTCCTAGATCCCCGAAATAATGATACTCTTTATCAAGAGAGCACTTTATTAAGTATTCAGTCACACTATGTCCTTTCTGAGATTTCTTTTGTCCGTTT